CCAAAGTAATTATGCTGCTGATTTTGATTCCCTTGTCTTTGAAACTGCTTTTTCAGAATGCTTCAGCTAATGTTTGCCGAGTATGTCTTTGTGCTGGTACCTTGGCTGGTTTAGTCCTGTGTTGGACAGCTGTCTCCTGAAGCGTTTCATATTAAGTGCTGTAATTAATTTACATGCAGTTGGGCAAACAAGCTCTAAAGTTGTTCGTTTCAATGCTGTAATTAATTTACATGCAGTTGGGGAAACAAGCTCTTAAGTTGTTCATTTCAACAAGGACATTTCAATTTTCAACATAGTTTGATGTTTTTTTGAACAACATCCGTCTTTCAAGGCCAAAATGCGTCCATGTGGGAGAGGATGATCCACAACTAGCAATAAACGATTAAAATTGTGGGCCTGGTGATGTTTGTATTATGTCTCCTGGCAATGGTTGTTCACTGTATTTACTTTTTACTCTATTAATCCTTTATTAGGCAGCTACAGCAACTTGTGATAATGAATCACTAATTTCATTAATAAACATGATGTATCAAGGAAGCACAGATGAGAATAAAGTAACACAATGCTGTTTTCAGTAAGCATCATGTGTACCTATCGCAGTCTGACACAGTCGACCTGGCTCAGTTCAGCAAAGACCAGCTGAGTAACCCAGTATAAAATGGCCAGCTTCGAGTTCAGTTCCTCTGCGTAGTCACGGTCCCAACCCCACCCTAGCTTGTTACATTGCCCGTTCCTTATTCGGTCAAAGTGTGGCTTGAACTTGCTGAGCAGCCCACCCAATTTAGAATATGAAGTGTGCTGGGGAGGGGAATGCACTGACCGCCATGTCACTAAAATTAGGCTGTGAGCAAATCCTGGGAGGACTCTGCCCAGCCTGAATGGACTCCACTGTCCCTGACTACTGTACCGGTCAGCTCAGATCACAAGTCTAGAAGAGCTTCTGTCTTAAAGTAGTGATGAACAGACTCTAAAATGTGAAGGCTCTAGATGAGTAAGTAGAATAAATGGGGTAATAAAAGAGGGAGAGGTCTGGTCAAATAGCTCTTACACTTTTTATGTTGTCAGCTTGTAAAATGTTACAGGACTGGCCTTGTGATCAGCCTGGCCTCTTTTTTTTTTTTGCACATACAGTACATTCAAATGAACACAGTACATGGCCACATGATGTTCAAGCTTATCATTCCCATTCCAGCTGAGATGTCAGTCATTACATCAGTGGCTGCATGAGAGAAGTCGTAGGAGTGATAGGAGGAATGACCTCACTATGTTTGTTTTCAAGATATGCTTGAGTATCATTGTACTGCCGCAGGGCCACACTGTCCTGGACGCCGACTCCTAGATAACATCTGAACTGAGCATGACTCACTTCCTCCACTGGACAGCTGTGTGTGTGTGTTTGGCATTATATAAACAAGTATCTGTTGACTCAGGGTTCATCCACTGAGCCTAAATAAAGCCAGGAGTCTGCTAGCAGTCATCAACTGTAGCTGCTTCTGTGGCTCAGACGTTACAGCCATTTCACCTCAGGGGGAAATCTCAGGAAGAATTGTTCTGTGTGAAAGATGATGTAACCATCTGCGAGATGAGTCATTTTTGAGGTGACACATTAGGCACTGGGAACACTGGGAACTGCTAAGTGTTCTTGTGAGTGGTGCTTGCATTTGGAACCCAGTTGCTGGTTTAATTCTTAGGAAATGGTGCGTCTAGCCTTATACGGGCCCGGTCTGGAATCATTTCTTGCCTTGCTTGTGTATTTTATTGGGGTGCCCCACCCCCTTGCAAACTGGTGACGTGCTTAAAACTCTATAGACAAAAAGTGCTTTGTGTTGTTGCTCTATAGACGGTTCTCCAGAAGCCCTTTGCTGAATGTCACACTATAATAGTGGTTCTCTGGAAACTGTTAGTTGTTTGGAGGGTGTCCTAAACCTCTTTAGTTTTGGACCATAAGCATTAAATAGATTGGTATAAAATCATGGACTCACTCTTTAAGCTAAGTACTAATTCAGGTGCTACTTTCAAATGTCACTGAGTAAAATTACTGCTGATGATCCCCTCGCTTGAACCCACACAGTGAAATGTGTAGGGCAGCTCTTCTTAACAGTACAACAGTTTACATGTCACAAGCGGCGGAAATGCAGCTCCACCACCATCATCACTTAGCCTAAACAAAGCACCCTCTCACTGGGAGTAACAGGACATTTCTGGAATAGTTTCCCCCTCCTCCCCAAAAGCCCAGCCCCCCTCCCGCTCTATATAGGGGCCCAGGATAAGGGGAAAGGGATAAAGGAGGAAGAGATGAGCAATGTGCCAAATGGCTTACAGCTTCTAAAGCTTTATGGTATCTCCTCTCTTCCTCCTGCTATAAGAATCTACACTAGAAGGTAGCACTAGCCATGATCCTTAATTTCCTCTTTGCTGTAATTTGTCTTTTCACTCTGTCTTTGGCAGAGAGGTGCAGTCTGCTCTGCTGCCGAGTCCGCAGGATGGGAGCACTGCCGTGGTATAGAGCAGACTGAGAGGGAAAGCAAAGTGTGTAATGTCTTTCTCAGTTGCTGTGGCCTTTTTTTTTTCTTGCCCACTTAAGTTGCAGAACTTGGATGAACTCTGCTTAAAAGCAGGTCACTGTGTGGAAGCACAGCAAACGTCATTTACAGATGACGCCGTGGCATGTGGCTTGCATCTTTGTCTCTACAGACAGAACTGATGAGAGGTGAAATGTCTTCAACTTTAAAAAAAATAAATAAATGAATAAAACTAGTCCAGTTGATTTGTTTTTTCTTTTTTCAATTTTTTTTTCCCTCAGCTTACTATGACCTGGACAACTGAGAATCTGCACAGACCCTACAGACGGAGGTCTTTATTTACCTGCAAATTGAAAATCCCCTTCACACTGTCATCTGCTTTCCATGTGCCTGCTCATCGCCATGGGAACAGTTGCTGTGCTGCATTGCCACCCCACATAAACAATTGAATGGTTCTCTGTAGGTGTAGCATTGTGGGCAAAATGGAGTAATCATCCCATGAATGTCCTTTTGATCCCCTAAGGATCAGCTAATGCTAGTTTAGGCCAGTGATGGCCATAAACCACAGTGCCGCCAACACTCACAACTGAAGCTTTATTTTGGAATTTGAATCGTGTAAGGTGAAAGGGGGACTTTCATTTGCTAAACAAAGGCAGTGATCTAATCCACGCTTTTCAGATGTTGAATTCAGAGGGGAGAAGCGGGAGAGAGAAAGAACAGCTGCAGTACAATGGGAGCCAGCAGGCAGATCAAACGGAGCCATCCCACTGGGCGTCACACAGAGAACAACAGCAGCCAGCCTGTCCGCACCAGCAAGGAGACTCTGGACTGACTCACCACTCCAAAACAAAGTGCTCTGATGACAGTTCAGAGCCTGCACCTTGCTTCTTAAACAAATCCTCTTGCAAGATGGTTTTGTTAAACCTTATTTGAATCTTCGTCTTACCTTTGCAAGTCTCTCTGCAATGTACATAACGTTATTCATGCAACGGTAGATTTTTCTTTTTTGCATTACACCTAAACACTCTTTGCATATCACTTCCGTGGTTGCCAAAAAGAATTTAAAAGAAAAAGGGCAGATGTGAAGAGCGACTGACACGAGAGACAGACCCAGAAAGAAACAATATTTAGCAGTTTCACAGAGACTCTGCTGCAGTGCTATGCTGAAAGAAGAGGTGCCTTCCAAAGGGCAGATGGAATGACCTCCATGCTTGTCCTTGTGAACAGATGAATACAGTGCATTCTTTCTTGACTTGCCTTGTCTGGAGAATGGCATACCTCAACAGGCTTGGGAGCTGGGCACCAAGTCTATAATGAACGTTGTGATGTGTGTCTGGTGCCACAACTTAACCGGTTTAACTGAAAATTGGTTAGGTTGTCTTGGAGAGAACACAACTGTGTGTTAGTCAGCATAGGAGATTTCATTAAAAGAACTGCACAAAGCTCAGTCTGTCAGAAGCTTATTTTGCCTGATGAACAATCCAAGCCGCATTTGTCCTTTCCTGCATCCTCCTCAGTCCCTACGTGGCTCGATGAGTTGAGCAAAGCGAGGGGGTCGTCTGGAGAGTTGGAAAAAGAAAGGGGAGAGTGCGTGACAAAGTGAGGGAAGACAGGAGATATCTCTGACTACTGGCAGCAGCCTCCCATATCCTGCTGATTACTGCTTTGTCTAAGAGGGAGAGAGAGAAATCACTGCTATAAAGAGGAAGCGAGGCCATCTGAGTCTTAATTGCTCCAGAAATTTCCTCTTGACCTTCAGGCAGTAGTTCTGCAGACTAATGGTGGGGGGGGGAATTTGCTGGAGCATTAAAGATGAGGGAGTCATCCCTCTGCTGTTTCCTCCGTCTTAAGTTTTCTCTAGCACAGCCTGTAAACTTAAAACAATCCGGGCCTTAAAGGTTGTGCAACAGAGGTATGATTTTTAACATTATCAGAACCTTTTCCCATTTTGGCTTCAGCTAATAAACAAGTGCTGGTTGTTACAGATGATTTTTAAGATCTTTATCTAGGTTTTTATGCTTGCAGTAATTAAATGTGGGCCTTTCCCACTGTTAGACCTGATGGTCTCCATAAGATGGACAAGGTGTTGGTATACTCAGAAATGCTACTTATTGCATATTTCTGATAAGCTGTGTTTCCGGATCCTAACAAGCGGTACACCTCATGCTTCCCTTAACTGTCAACCAGCATAACCTCATGGGTTGACGCAGACCATCGTGCTTTGTTTTTCCACTGCATTTTCTCTGTAGCAGTCTCTATTTAGAGCAGGGAGGAGCTGCACTCCTCATACGCACGCATGCACACACACACACACACACAGCTTTTTCTTTATTGGATTCAAGGGTCTAAAGACGGTGGATGTCGTAAGCTGTACAGGTTGCAAAGCCTCTGTGATATTCAGCTATGTACTGTGAATAAAACTCGACTTGTTTTGAGTGAATCTGCTACTGTTCTAACTTGCTGTCTGTTTATTTGAAGGCGGGAAGTGATGGAGAGAGCATTGGGAACTGCCCCTTCTCCCAGAGGCTCTTCATGATTCTGTGGCTTAAAGGAGTCGTCTTCAATGTCACTACAGTGGACCTCAAGAGGTGAGTCCTCCTATGTTCTACATCTTCTTCTCTGTCCTCTTCATTCTCATTGGCTTATTGTCTTCCTTGCACTGGCTGTTGACCCAGGGTTTAAAAAAGAAAAGAAAATCTCCTCATTTTTGGTATCCTTCCATCTGTTTTCTGGGCGTTTCCACAAAGGCTTTGATCCAGCCCCACTTCTTGCACGTTTGCTGCTTCCCCACTGCTTATTTGGTTTTCCCGTGGCCTTTCCCATGCCAGAGAAAAATAAACACATGGACTCTGGAGAGGCTTTTTAAGGTTCTTCACTTTGCTTACTTCCTGTCCAGATTATGGTGGGCCGCACGTTGTACTTCAACACTAGGATCAGAAAACTGGTGATTCTCTGCTGGTTTTGTTTTCCGTCCCAGCTGCAAGTGAACGTGCTGTGGATTTCAGTACTAGAAGCTCTTCACCAAAACCACAATGATTGCGTCTGTGTGATTCATCTAAATGTTTTTCCACTTGATAAACCAGGACAGACAGACAAGGGCCATATTATTTTCAGATGTTTTCAATGGTGGATGTTTGCTTTCTTCATCATGTGCGTTTAACTCAGATTCAAGAGTTCTGACATTTTATTTCCGAAGCGTGGTTCTTCTTGCGGCAGAAGGTTCACCGCTGGGCGTCTCCTCCTCTGGGACATGGAGACTGCTGCTTATTGACAAAACACAGATGTTCTTGATAAATGCTGTCCTTATTTTAATACAGCTAAACAGAAGAAAACGGTGTCCATTTGACTGACCATTTGTTTTTTGTTCACATGCCTGCACATTCAAGATGAGTGTAAAGCTTTGGGTTTATTTGCATACACTTTCCCTGGCACAGGGCATGTAACATGGCTGAACTCATACCCTGTAAAAGGCAGTGGAGGACGTCTGCCATTTAGCCCTTGTTTTTAGTTCTGTCTGGAAGTCCGCCCTTTTTTCTTTCCATGGTATATAGTGTCTGTAAACGTGAGTCAACATAAAACTGCATTGCAGAAGAAAAGGTGTGTTTACCATATTTATGGCTCTCTCTTTTTATTGCAGCATTTAAATGGAAGAACAGTGCATGTTAGTTTGTAGGAGGACATGAACGCCACATGTTGCTGCCAGAAGTCAGAATGCTTTCTCTTCTGTCGTGGGGGGGGGCCAAGGTGGTCCTGTTAATATTTCTTTTAGTTTAAAAGCCACCCATTCTCAAGGCAGTTTCTTACCCACTCCTCAGTGACCTCACTGGGTGAGGGTGCCACTTCCGTTTCACAAGCCAAAGAGCAAAGTCCTGTTTTCTGTCCTTAGACATCTTTATGTCCACAGTTACACTGGACCTCTTAAGAGTCTCTGTGGAAAGAGGTTGTAGCCAGCAGTATTACCTCAACAGAGGATTCACACTTCCTGCCAGGTTCTATCCATTTATTAGGCTCCAACAGTTGTTGACACTGTTGTGTGTTGTCTTTATACTTTCATCTGGCTACTGTGGATTTAACAAGTCTGTGTTCTCGCTACTCATTCAACACATGCTAATTTTTTTTGTTTGTTTGTTTACAAGTCGGTGTCATCTACCTCCCACAGACATCTGGTGCAAAATGTGCCGGTTTGAAGGCTGCAGAGAGAAGGGGACAGACATACACAGCCAAAGCTAGAGAAGGATGAGGGCTGCATAGTGCTAGAAAAAGTGGTGCTGGTGGTCACTGAGCCACAGCATTCTGTTACCTGGACTTAAATTAACATTAATAATAATACAGTTTATTCCATTATCTAACCATAAAACATCAGACCAATTATGAGTCTTGTCGTTCACGAACCTTTTGATCACTGTCAGGATAAAAACAGCTTCACAACCTAATCCTTATAGGTTATAATTGGTTGTGTGGTTTGGTTTTGCTTGCTGCATCTAACTAAAGCTGCACCACTCTGTGTCTTCCAGGAAGCCAGCAGACCTCCAGAACCTGGCCCCCGGCACACACCCTCCCTTCATCACCTTCAACGGTGAGGTCAAAACTGACGTCAACAAGATTGAAGAGTTTCTTGAGGATGTCCTCTGCCCACCCAAGTGAGTACTTGGACATCCCTCTGGTAACGGCTAGACACCATGAGCACACTGGTAGCTTTTAAATGCATGGTTAGCACAGAGTGAAAGCATTAGCTGATTTAAATTTAGCCCCATGTTTTACTTAAAGGATAAAGCTGCCAATAGCATGGTGGTTAGCGCTGTTGCCCTCCAGGTTTGAGCCCTGGCCGACCCGGGGCCTTTCTGTGTGGAGTTTGCATGTTCTCCCCATGCTTGCGTGGGTTCTCTCCAGGTGCTCCAGCTTCCTCCCACAATCCAAAGACATGCAGCATAGGTTGATTGGTGTCTCTAAATTGCCCATAGGAGTGATCGTGTGTGTCAGTGGTTGTTCGTCTGCGTGTTAGCCCTGCGATGGACTGGCGACCTGTCCAGAGTGTACCTCACCCGCAGCTGGCTGGGATTGGCTCCAGTCCCCCGTGACCCTGTTTGGGACTAAGCGGTATAGAAAATGGATGGATGGATGGATAAAGCTGCCAATATTCATAATAAAAGAAACACAAAACCCCTGGAAAAATGGGTCAGCCTATTTATGTACCTTAATGTTCCTGTGACTGAGCCCATTCCTACTGAAGACAGATCTTTGAAAATTAGTCATAAATGTATTCTTTGATTTTTCAAGGTAAATACATCATTTCTTATAGCAGCTGAACACTGTAATTTTCAGTAAATGTTCACTAAATAGTACATTTGTTGGTGACTGTTTTCAGCAAGTAGATTAATGATTCCTCTCATGAATACGGTATTTAGAGCGATGGGATGGCGTTTGAAAGGGCCCATATAAAAATAAACTACAGGGCCCATGTGCACTGTAATGTTGTTCTAGCTAACTGTGGGCCTGTGGTAGACAGGAATAAGCCCCGGATCGTAAGACAAATGCAGAATATCACAAGATGTATTATTTAGCATGTTCCTGCATACATGTTTTTTCCATGCACAGGTACATCAAGCTTGGTGCAAGGCACCCAGAGTCAAACACAGCTGGAATGGACATCTTTGCCAAGTTTTCAGCATACATCAAGAACTCAAAACCCGATGCCAATGAGGGTAAGTTGCCTGTATTTGTCTTTGACACAAGTGCAAACAGAGGCAGGGACACTGGTTAAAAGCATTGATTCAGAAACTTGCCCATTGTGTGTAGGGAGAGGTCTCTGGTTGCTAGGCAACATTGGTAGCCCTGCCCCACTTGGTGGATTACTCTTCACTCAGGAACACAGAGCCGTTGTTGTGCTGCCTCCTCCTGTCCTGTTGCTCGCTGTCTCACCTGGCACAGCTCTCTGGAAACCACAGAGCAGCAATTCTGAGAATAAACTGGTGCTCTGGGTCTCCTCCTTCCTGTCCTTGATACAGTATATGCACTCTGGTCCCTGCTCTATGAGAACAGCACTAACATAAACGGGATAAGCGGACAAATGTATAGTCTCATACCAAAGATTGTTGCATCTTGCGTGAAACTATTTGTGGAATTGGTTCCCTGCAGAGATGTTTATGGCATTCACAAAATACCAACCATTTGGCATCATGTTTTAGTTGGCCGATCTCCACCCTGGGACAATTTGAACCTGAGCCATCCATGTGAGGTGGATGAGAAAACCAAGACTATGTCAGAGTTTGAGACTGTCATGATTCTGTGACGCATGCTCTCCAATGTACCACGTCATGTCTACTGTTGTAACACTGAACTGTGCATGCAGTAGTTTTAGTAGTTAATAAATAATGTGTGTATAGGGTAAGGGGAAAAAGTGTAATACCTGTTCAATCTGGTGAAATGTTTGCTCTGTAAGAAGCTTCTCACAGTAGGTATTAGAGCAGCAGATAACTGTATGACACAGCTATAGTGTTAGATTGTGCATGTGTATGCAACATATTTGTTTGATGTATTTATAATGTGAACACTGTACATGCGTACAATACGAGATCTTGTTTCCTGATTAAGTGCTGCCATCATGTGGCTGGCTGGTATATGGCTGAAACAGGTCTCAGTCTTCAGAATTTATTTCATACCGTAAACAAGCCAAAAGTTTAAAACAAACAAAAAAACCTATTGCTTCTACCGAACACTTTAGGAATTGATTGAAAACAGTTCTTATTCTATTTTTGTTGTCTTGTATATCTTTGCAGCTCTAGAGCGTGGGCTGCTTAAGACCCTGCAGAAGCTGGATGAGTATCTCCACTCACCGCTGCCCGATGAGATTGACCACAACAGCATGGAAGATGTCAAGGTCTCCAACCGCAAGTTCCTGGATGGCGATGAAATGACTCTGGCTGACTGCAACCTGCTGCCCAAGCTGCATATAGTCAAGGTAAGGAAGCAAATTATTTAGACACCACCAAATTTATCGTATTCACTTGTGATGTCTTGGTGTAACATGATGCACTCGAAGCACATCCCCACAGGTGTTTCCCCTTACGTGACCTGCTGAGATCGCATGTGACAGAAATCTCTTGTTGTTCCTTTAACTCTTACTTTTATAGTCTTTCCAAGCTTATTTCATTAGTACCTAATGATTAATTATCCAAACAAATGGATCAGTTATTGAAAAACTTAGATTAATTTTCTGTTGATTCAGTGGTGAACCAGTTACACACACTTAAGTCCTTGTGCAGTGTAATTATTTTGCAGAAGATTCTCGTTTGATTAAAGGACTTCCAAACTAATGCAAAGAAATAAAACTATCCCAGTTTTTCACCCAGATTGAACACACACAATCTACTACACCGGTGCTCTTGTGAATGAAAAGATTTGTAGCATGTAATTTGATGCGTAACCTTTCCCTGCAGGTGGTGGCCAAGAAGTACAGAGGTTTTGACATCCCCAAAGAGATGACGGCCATCTGGAAGTACCTGAACACCGCCTACACACGTGAAGAGTTCACCAACACCTGCCCCAGTGACAAAGAGATTGAGATTGCCTATGCAGATGTAGCCAAGAGACTGGTCAAATAAGCTCCTCGCCCCAAAGCCTCCTCCTGTACACTCCCCTACACCGCCTCCGCTCAGCACCAGGACTGATGTGCTTGTTCACGAGAAAGAGGAAAAAAAAACTCTGGAATTAATTTCCTTCTCTCCTCATCTACGGCAAATCCCCAATGCATGAACCCCTCTTGATCTTTTTTTTTTTTTTTTTTAAACGAAGATTGCTTTAGTTGATATTGAGTAAAGGTCACAATAACTTGTCTTTTACAACTGATGAATGTTTTGAGGCATTGCATTATGCCGAGGCGATGAAGCCAGATGTCCGTACGTATCAATGTCGGCAGCTTTGTCAGACACGGCCCCTGATAAGTGACCTTCAGGCTGACCTTCTCTTGCACACCGGGGAAAGGTTGTGAGCTGCTGTTAATTTTCTGTTGTCTCTTTAATATTGAAGTCACTCTTTGTAGTTTCACTATAATATGAAACACAGAAGCTTTTTTTCCCCCCTGTCTTTTGGCTTATTGAGATGGCATTGTAATCAGTGTTGAAGCGTCAGTGTTTTGGGCTGAAGTGTTCGACATGTTTATGTAGAAACCAAGGCCCCTCCAAACCAGACTGGTTGCTTGGACATATAAGAGATGCTTTATTTAATGTTGAGCTGTTTAAAATAAATCAAATAATTGTAAGTGCAGGTAAAGCTACCTGGAATCCATGCTCTGATTTCCTCATTGCCTCAATAGGCAAGAATCTTGTAGCTCCGCTCAGTAAAAGTAACAAGTCACGACTCAGGAAGACTATAACCCGAGTTGTACGAAAGCTCCAACATATGTAGCTTGCTGATGTTCGACAATGTACCCAGTGTCCATACAGGCACTAGCCGACTCTTATGAAACATGAAGGAATGTCTTTTCTTTGGTCATGCTGACTGTAGCGGCAGTTAGGATTACACATTGCGAGCCAGATGGGCACATTCAGGTCTCACTGTGGACAACATGACCCCAGCTGTATGTACTAGTGAAGTAAAAAAACAGAAATGAAGAAGCACACTCCCTCACTGTGTCTTTCTCCCTACAGACTGAAGGACTGTGCGGTCAGGCACCAGGAAAGGTGATACCATGACAAAACAAAGTGATGAGAGTAGCAATGAAATGTATCTGGTCGAATTCCACTTTCCCTTCATTATGTAGCTTGATCTCAAAGGTAGGGATTGTATGTTATGATACAGTAGCTCCAAAAGTGCTTTAGTGCAGATAAAGCACAACCTGTTTCAGTTGTCTCCGGTTGGCCGTGGTTTTCAGACAATTGTTATGAAGCCAATCTGATGAAAAGAAACTTGTAAATATGTTTTGATTGCTCAGAATCCAATGTGTAAATTTTATACATCATTGGAATTGGAATTTTGAAAATGCCTTTTTGCCTGCTTGAAGTCAAATTGTTAAAACTATCCTCTTTGCCTTACCTGTTTTCTCTCTGCAGATGTTCTGAGAGTGTTTCACTATAACATGAGTCTGAAGTTGTAAAAGAAGATATTTAAGCTATGTCAAGACTTTTTTTTTTTTTTTTTTTTTTTTTTATATAAACAATATTCACTAAACTGAAATAAACTTCTTATTGGCTCTCTGACTTGGCGGTGATGTCTAAACCTCCGGTGTTGTAATGCATCTATCTAGTGCAATATAAAGGATGTACACAATAACCAGACTTGATTATTTTTCATAGCCCATAGCAATAACCTAAGTTCCCCTTAAAGTTAAAGATCTAACTTTCAAAATGAAAAGGCTGCATTGATTAAAGCCATCACAAATGTATTCACTCACTTCCAGTGGCTCATAAACGGCACAGTTCCTTGTAAAATGGATGTGTTATCCAGCCCTTTACCTGACATCTTCAGCTTCTTTATAGTTGAGCTTAAAAGGTGTGTTTTCTTTTTTCTTGGCCTTTGGAAACAGCAGCCTTGTTTCCAAAGCTTTTAATCACATTGTATTTTCCTCTACAGTTGTCATGCAGAGCACAAATGACTCCATCAGCCGAGGAAGCACAAAAGAGTAAGTTGGACCTCGTGCAGATTTTTTTAATTTATTTTTTTGGCCAAAATTCTTTAAAGGCACTTATCTTTGGTTTGTCTGCTGTGTTTAGCGGTTTTCTTGCAAAGAGGCAACATTTTTAAATACTGTGTGTGTGTGCAATCTAATATCTGACCTGGCTGTGATCTAGCACCAGTGAACCCCTACTGTAAAAATACATTTTTGGCTTGGTGTCCCTAATGGCATTACTCTGTTCTCTTTGTGTGTCCCACTACCCCAGGACAGTGACGGTGAGCCAGAATACACAGTGAAATTGCAGCATGCTAAGTGGAAATCATGAAAAATATATCATATTGGGTTTCTTCTTCTATTGTAAATCTTTCTGGTGGTCACTGGTACAGAAATACAGAGGTTTGGGAACCCCTGGGTTAAAGCGTGTGTTTACAACTCTCCCAGGAATGTCTCATGTGGGTGTCCCACCCACTGTGGGCTCTGCCTCTCCCTGAAGGCACCCTCTCACATTCAACTTGATGTCTTTCAGCCAGTTCCCTGCTGGTCTGCAGCACAAACAAGTCTTTTTCTGCAGGGCTTTCTGCAGCCAAAGTTTTACAAGACAAAAAAAATGTGGAGGCATACAGGTTTTTTGGAATCTCTCCACATCATTAAAGTGTCACATTTCATCCCTAGACACTTACTGGTGAACAATCTCCTCAGTTCATGCAGAGAGATGTGTGTATGTGTTTCTTTGTCAATGTGAGGTAGGAGAAGACACAAAGATGGTTATCATTCAGACCACACACTCATTGCAAGCAAGCTGAGTGTATTAGGGTTAGTGAGTAATAAAGGTGAGGCAAGGAGGAGCTGAGTATTGTTTCTTAAGCATGTTGCCTGGGTGTGGGTGTGTGTGTTGAAAGACCACAGCAATCTTACAATACACACCATGGGAGGGAGCCAACAAGTCAGCTAAACTGTGAACACACAAGTTGTTGTCTTGGCTCTTTGTTAGGAGCCTGTAAGTGTAGTGATATAATTTCCTCAACCTTGGCATAATTTTGTGTCATTATTATTTTATTGTAACAGATAAATCCATTTTATTTTTCTCATTACTCCACAGCTCAGCGCAGAGGTTTCTGTTTGCCACGGACTCTCTGCAGTGCAAGTTCAGTTCAGGTTTTATACAGCTGGCCAAGTAGTGACACTGGTAAAATAGCTTGCTCAGTGGTACACAATGATAATCCAGCTGAGTTTTGGACGTACAACGTGTGAAATATCTTCTATGCAGATGAGCTACAGTATGTGCACCTGATTGTATTTGATTTACTCTGATATTTGATGACACATAGGCCTACATGGAGCAGATTTGTTTACAGATTAAGACCAAATCAGAGTGATTTCCCCCCCTGAATATTTGACTTGGGGGGGGAATTAGATACCTTTAGAGATCATTTTATTCAATAATTCACAAGAACAACATAAAGCAGAAAAAAGAATTAGCTTGTTTTCTGCTTTTCTCTCCTGGTAACCATCTTTGGACCCCTCGGATTGTTTTTTGTCTTGTGATGCTACGTGTTGACACAATGTGGTAATTACCATATGTGGTCATGAGAATGCATTTCTTGATTTTCAGTTACAAGATTTAACCAATTAAAAATGAACACCAGTAAACAAATATTTTAAGTCAAGTAGCCAGACGTCAAGCTTCGTGGAACAACGTGAAGCAAAATATAACTTAGCTGTGTAAACACACTGTAAAACAGTACACTTGTGTGACATGTAAATGAACTAATAACGTTAATACACCTGGCCTCTGCTTTTGTGCATGCTGGCGCACTGCATGGAGTTACTGGCGCACCTGAGTGGAACAGAACCATAATTAAATGTTATTAGTTCCACCTATGTTTTCCCTGCTGTGATGATACAGTCATACCAAAATCCTCCTGATGAAATATACTAGTATGATGGTGCCAAAAGCAGCAGGGGACAGAAGCTAGTGTGGGTTAGGGTTGTAAACACAAGCTGCAGGAGATACAGTAGCTTGGCTAGCGGGCTCACAACAGGAGTCCACAAAGATGGGACTTGTACTGTGTTTGATGAAACATGTCACTGTCATTAACCTCTGCTGCTGTCCTTAAACTCACTGCAGCCACAGCATTGTTTATTTTGTTTTACTTTTGAATAAAGTTTATTTAAATGTCACACATGCAAACAAAAAGACGACTCAAAAATTAACATAGTATAAATTAAGCTGTAGATTTAACTTAAATTACAACTAACCAAGAAAATGGCTTTAAAAATGAAATATACAAATAAAAATAGAAAGCCGAGGGGTTTCACTTAAAACAAGCGGTGATCATTAAATATACATAATAAAAGATCTGCATATATTGTATATTTTAAATGCCTTCTTGTTCACACTGTCTGAGACTGCATAGCTAGAACTTTTAATCTCATTAACCAGAGCAGGAGAGAAGGGTTGCATTTAGAAAATTTACATTTGTGAATATGATATTTAGCCATAAGTAGAATGATGGTTACTGGTTCTATCAAATCTATTATTAATCATATTTTTATAGGGTAATGACCACCCTTTCTCCCAACAAATATCAGGTTTTCTCTTTTTTGTGATATAAACAAACTATGGATGAGAGGTCAATTTCACGGGTCAAAGTTCAATCCGATTGAGCGGAAGTGGGTTAAGTCGCGACCGAAAATATACAGCTTCGCCTCGTTTTCACGGACACATGAATGGGAAGTGGCTTTAGACTTGACTACACCTTGAAAGAGGTATATAAAATAGTTTAAAGTGGCTTATATATGACGTGAGTACATGACTACTGGCCATAGTTACTAATATTCCAACTTAGCTACTACGTGGTCACGTGTGAATCTTCATTTAACGTCAGTTAATGAGCCAATCAGAGCCGAGCAGTGGAAACACAGCAGCTACCAGCCTGGCACAGACCACACGGCGAGTTGTTATTGTTGTGAGAAAGCCGTCAGGCCGACTATAGTGCTGCGGACCCCATAATGCTTTCCATGCCCCATATCTGCGCCTTACATCTTCAGCCATGTTGGTCTTTATTCAGAAAATATGTTGGCATCAGTTCACGTCCTTCAAAATACTCATCGTCTGCGACTGGTTAGCAAGACTGTCGAGGGTATGCTGGTCCGCCTGCAAGGTGTGTTTTTCTTGCCAAACTTCTTGATCCAAGTCGTACAAGCTGTCGTTGACCCATCATCTTGTGTGTGTGTTTTGGCAGCAACAGAGGGTTTTTGTCTGGTGTCATATAGTCACTCATAAATAGGCCTGTATACTATCATAGCTCTGAAAACACATCAATATACTAAAAGTGATGCAGAGTGGCACTCTGGAGGAAAGCATGAAACTCGAGAATATTCTTTGGCATTTGGTGCACTCAGATGCAATAAACATCAATAGTTCGATGATTTATCTGGTGTCAGGGGGAGAATAAATATGCTGTATTTTTAAGGTCCATGCAAAAATCATTCACCCAAATAATTTCTCAAGTATAGTCACATGGACAGATTTCTGCTGCCACTGCACCAGCTGACTTCTCACGCCACTGCAGTGAGAACAGCCGTGAAACTGCTCCATTACAAGTTAAAGCCTAGCATCTGAAATTTTATGTAAAATACCTGCTTATTGTTGGCA